ACAAAGGTTGGAAGAAATACGTAACTGCTTCAATAAAGCCGCCCTTTTATAACCCAGTTAAAGAGAAAACTTAGTGACACGAATTGTCCTAAATCCCCCACCCATGTGCATGTCGAAAATTGTGGAAGCTTAAGGGCACTCAAATTTAAATTTAACATTCCCTTAACAGAAGGAAATATAGTCCCTTATATAGCCCCCGTCCCGTGCAGCCCCACCTTTTTCTACTATAAAAGCTCGACGACAACATTTCTCCATGTAATTAATAATATTTCGCTAGTCCTGGGCTGGCGATCCGAGGCGGCACCACTTCGCACATCTCTGTTTCGAAACTTAGCATTCGGTGCTGCACTGTTAAACGCATTGCTTTAAACGAAGCACTCCGTGTAGGGCGTAACACTGGTTTGCATGAATTCTTTGGTTTGTAGAGTTCACTTAATGCCAATCAGCGATTAAACAAGCTCGCTTTTCTACCCAATCGCACACGGCCTGCCTGTCGATTACGACATATAGTGTACCTTTCAATCTTTTAATGTTGGACACCTATGAAAATGTCCTTCATTAAAATGTAACGAAATAAAAGAAGATGTTGGCCTATGTTTAGAACCCATGTTGATGTCAGCATATCTTAGTATTAACATTCGGCTATTACCTGCTCTTCTTTTACGATTTACCTTTTTTCAACAGCTGAAAATTAAGTGTGCAGCAAATGACGCTGATTTTTCTTAGCCTTAAGATCTTCAGGTACATCTAGATCGTCGATCAGAGATGCGCAAGCCTTGCAGCGACGACTGGCACACAAAACTTCTAAGGACATAATCATTCTGGCGTTTTTTTGTCACTACTGCTTATGCGAATGTTAGCTTGTACATCTCAAGCGACTTGATATAGAAGGGACTCATGTATATCGTTTGTATAATGCCGTAAGTAAACATTTGGATTGATTAAAAGGTGAACAGAGGTATCTTGCTATGCAAGTGCGGGTGAGCACCACAAGCGGCATAAGGTAGGTTTTAAAAGACCTAAACCAGGTAGTGCCCCTATGCGTTACAAAAACCCCAACCAAAAAAGTGATCACGCTGAGCACTTCTTTATCCCTTTACTTACGCCGTTATCTGTTTAGCACACCGTCACAGACGACATAGTATTCTTTATTACACACCGCTTCGCGGTCTGGGTGCGTGCCGTCCCATTGACTCGCCAAATCGACAGATAACATGAGATGGCACACTCGTACTCTAGCGGCAGCTAAATAAAGGTGGTCCCCATTTTCTTACTTAAAAGATTTTGGCCAGTGCATCAGGGCTAGAAGACTGGCTGTCTCCTTCTTACTTTTTTGATTATCTGCATATGTACTAACAGTGGCTCCATACCACGTAACTACATGCGCGGGGCCTTCCCTACTCTCTCGCCCTTTTTTCTTCGAAGCCAGCAACAAACGTTGATGGTGGTGGTACGGCTGTTGATCTGTGATACCATGACGTCTTGCTGGCTGATATCCACGTTAGCGTCCATCGTGGTGATGGTGGTGGTGCCGGTGTTAGTACCAGCGATGACGGGATCGTCACGTGTCAGGGTCCGCGAGTGATTTTCCGCTTTAAGTCCGCCACAGCGTCCTCTAGAAAGACTTTTGCTTCTCGTATTGCTGACAACTATAGACGTACCACATCTGCTATTACGGCTCTTAACTCCGGCAAATCTAGGCAGGTCTGTTGTTGTTTTTTTATTTGAGGGAATTTCCTTTTGTCTAGCGAAGTTCGCTTTGTCAATCCTCAATCGCCCCTTTCCGTAACTTGACGTGTTTCAGTCCACTTCTAACGGAAATGAGACTGAAAGTAGGCGAAAAGTAAATATCTTTGTCTGGCTATTCTATAGGTCAATACTTGGGGGGTCTTTGTATTAGTGGAGATGGCGGATGTTTATGTCATACGTAGCATCATCGCTAATCAATGTTAATTTGTGTGGGGTCATAGTCGTAAAGCTTCTGTAAACAAACAGCCAATATTACAAGGCGTTAACACCAACTATATCCCTTCCATTTGTTTAACCATCCGCGATGCACTCGTCCCAGAAATAGCTAGTTTTAGCGGCTTATCTATACAATCGCAACGAGTTTCCTAAAACAATAATCGCCAGTAAAACCGGTTAGAATACGTATGCGTCGTCAACTATCAGCCTTGATAGTTCGAACGTAGCCATATGCAGTACTAATACATTCAAATAGATCAATGGACAATCGCCTGTAAATCGATTTAGACATCAGTCCAATATCCATTTAGCGTCTGTAAGCCAGCAATATTCAGGTTACGCGCCGGCGCATAGACTTCATACTGTCCTTTAAGATGCTATACGTAAAACTGAGAGTTCAATGCCCTTTTTGGTTTTCAACATTCATTTGTACAGTACATAACATTTTAGATAGACATACAACAAGTTGAAGGTCCGTGTGCCAAGCTTGTGGACAATTTTTGGCCTGGGTTTCAGCTTCCGGACAAAGCTGACGCCAATCTGGATGATAAGTAGACGTTTGTCGAAGGGCATAGACCCTTTATTGCAAACGCAAATTAAAACTAGTACAAAAATCACCTGACGATATTTTGTATCAGTTTATTGCTTAAACACTATATAGCGCTATATTAACCAATAGGGCAAATGTGCCCCGGGATAATTTGACTAACTATAAAGCTGAGCTCGATTTTTGGTAAGACAAATAAATCAACATAAATGTCGAAGCATCCGTTACTTGAATGCAATGTATTCTGTCCTTTTATCTTTCCTCGTGTACCGGCCGCCACGATGTTATTTTTAGTATAATGAAATGCGGGGCATAAAGTCTTAACAAAGTCAATAGCCGCAATCTTAACATATGGATAAAATCTCGCTGGGTTTTGAAACGAAAGAAAAAAGGAATTATACAACGACTACAATACCTGGAAAGTTACCGGATAGAATGGTAAACGTATTAGTTGTAACAGTTGGGCCAGATTCTTTAGATCAACCCGACTGATAATTTAATAGTTATGCCATACATTGTGCTATATAAAACAAACCTAAGATGAAGCCGAACCTAGTTCTACTTTGGTCATTGGGCTTGCCTAGGATGATTCTTCCGGCCAAAATCTACAATAGCTCACTTACTCTGGAACCGACTAAATTATTTTAACCATTTGGATATAGGCCGTATTAGGTAATCTGACGAAAGCTCGTTCAGTTTATTGCACTAATAAGTTAAATAGATATTTGTGAGACGAACACACTGGGTGATGTATACCCCACTCCTAGCCAGCCCTAGAGGTGCACCTGCGCCATTGGAATCTAACTAAGCACAAAGATCTGGCGTTGCTTGCTTTCGATACAACGGTTTCAGTCCCGTACGCGACACTTGCGTGATATTACGTTTCTCAATTTCCACTCAGGTTTGCTGGTTTCGATATAGTTGCATTTTCAATGGGAACAGACAACGGAGTCTGTAGAGCTCCATCCGAGCTTCTCGTCATCTGCTATGCCCCGTCTTCTCTTCCTTTGTTTAACCACGTCTAAGGTTCCCAGTACTCTATAATCTAGATTCTTGGAAGGACAGCTATCTATGGTCGACCCCTGTTGAAACCTTAGATATCCAGAATCTCTAAAGATACGTCACTTAAAATTTTATTTTTATTAAATAAAAAAGACCAAAAAGGATCTACCCTATTCCCGCGCAATTGTATCCAAAATTGACCTTCTCCGAAATGCACCTTCGCCTAAAAGGTTCTACAGCTCTTTTTTAATTCTACGCCTTTGCCTATTTGAGTGTAAAAAAACGTCTTCGGTTGTGGCGTATGCACCTTATTTAAAGTTCGTTTTTGAACGCGTGCAGCTGAAAGAATCTGTGCGTACCCGTATCATTCTCGGATCTGTACGCATTTCCTTTGTCACGAACAAAAAACACTGTAGTTAACTATAGAATGTGACATAAAAGGACGCGCTCCTACGATGGTTCTGCTTGACTGGGCATCTTCACTGGGTAGATTTGAACGATAGAGATAACCAATTTTTTCGAGACGATGAAGCTCTTTAAGCGTTTCGCTCCTGCGAAACATTTGGTGAATTGTATGTATTTTATTGATGGCCAATGCTGCCATTAGCTTTTTAATTTCTCGAATCAATTAGCAATTGTTTAAGCTGCTGGGAAATATGGCTTTCCGTGAACTGTACAAAAAAATGTACACGCATTTTCACATGTAGACGTTACTGATGCCGCTTGTAGCGAGTGATTTCGATATTTACTTACAACAAATAATAGATGATCACATAGAGCCGCCAGTAATTGATTCGGATAGTTTATGTTGACTTTGAAAAGTAAGAGTAGCTGGTGACTGAAGGTTCTTGTTATGCTGTTGTAATTAAACCCACAGAGACAGACAGCTTATAGCTCTAACAGACGCTTATAAACCCCGTATTATTGACGATCCTTTTCCTAGCGACGCGTTTCTGTTGGCTTGCTTGCCTAAGAACTTTCGTTATCTTAGTACAATCCGCATCATCTCGTTCTTTCGGCATTGTCATAAGCAGCACTGTGGCTTCGCCTTGTACTGTGAACTATCCGTCGATGGAATAGTACGTTATATAGTGTCCTATTATCTATTTTGATTTATTTATCTACGCACCTTCTACCTCCTATGAATGGATGTGCCTAGTTATGTATGTGTATTCGTAAACACTATGCATACCCGGTTTCTTGTGCGGTTTTTGGCTATCAATGTTGTTATTGTTGTTGTTGTTGTTGTTGTTGCTGTTATTGCCGTCGGTGTGCAGCAATACGTACAAAATCGTCTATAATCTTACCAGCATTGCGGTAGTTATCGATGAACACAAAGATGAGAAGCATTTCCCTTGATAAACAAAGGCCGACATACATTCCATCATGAAATGGTGGCCAATCCTGGCGAAACATCTGCAGAAATTCGCAACTCGGTCACACACGGCTATAGAGAAAAAAACAGGCAGAATTGCATATCGAGTTATGTTGCCGATGATGAGGCCACACGCGAATAGATGACCGAGTTGCGCCTGACCGGAGGTCAATGGGATGTTTCCATCAACAAGTGGAGCTTTCTCGGACTCCCCGTAGCTCAAGCGCATTGCGCAACGACAAGCAGCTAACGGGGGTTCCACTAGTTTGCGAGATCGTAAACCGTTCGCCGATGGGGCGCACAGAAGCAAACATCGCCCAAGCTTGTATATGCTGTGCCTATTTTTCTCTGTTCTAGCGCAACCACAGATGAGAACGACCTAGAATTGGATTCAGTGGTGAACCACCTTCCGGTCAGTTAGCCTATGTCCCGCATTTGCGTTTGTCTAGGCTGCAAACGAAGATAAGAACGTGCTCAGCAGACGGGTGCTTTTCCAGTGGACTCTGTGGTGAAGATCCGCAAACTTCCGAAGGGAGTCGCGGTGGATGTTCGCGACCTTTGCCTTGACCACCCGTGCCTGCCTGCCTGTGACTGCTCCAGTCACAGCAATTGGGCCACTACAAAACCACAAGACAGCTGTTGTGAAACTTGTTTCTTATGGGACACCTGCATCTGATGCAGCTATATTCGGTGACTCACCGCTCAAATAGCAAGGAAAGTTCCATTCTAACTTTGAAAAATAATACTGATCCAACCATGACTGATTGGTGATCCAATGCTTATAGGAGACTGTAAGGTTTTTTCTGTAGAAATGTAGGTGACTTTGGCAATAAAAAAAGAATAATTAATCCCAAGCTTGTAGCACTGAAGTCAGACAGATGTTTCGCTTGAATCGGTGATTTGTGCTTTCAAATAGTTCGGTGTAGTTCCTCAAGCCTGGAATGTCATATTAAGGGCGGCTATGAAAAACATTTCCCATCCTATTATTTATTAGCCAGTTGGTGTCATCACGTTTTAGTACTGGAAAAATTTTTCTTATTAATGACAAGCTTGATTTGTTGAAAAATGAAGGCGGTATATGAACAACCTCCATTCGATATACTCTTCCTAAAGAGCGCATTGTTATATATATATATATATATATATATATATATATAACTGTTCCGGCTAATTTAAGATTTCTATATTCCTTGAGTAATGTTCGACGTTCATAGGCTCAGTGATCAGCTTTTTCTCGCTATCGCAAGATACGAACAAAATAAATGATTTTTGCCCTTTGGCAATACCAATAAATGGCACAAAAAATGTCATAGTATTATAAAAGACGAAGTCTGTGACAACTCGTGTTTTTACGTGAAAATGTACGCGAAAATCAGGACTATGATCAGTAGGTTTCGTTTGAAACGTTTGTTTGTATTATTGGAAATTTTACTGCAACTGATTTCAAAACACTTATTTCGATTGCTTTCGTTGCATTGCCGCTGATTATGCCAGAAGGTTTAAAATCACCGACTTTTCTCGAAGGTTCCTGACATTTTATCAGTGTGTTTTTAGCCACAGCAGTTAAACTCTATGGTTCGATTCATATTTGCATACGAAAGTGGGCATTGCCCTAAGGCTTTCCGTTTTATGCTGGTCAAGTTTACGTTAGACTCGAAAGCTAAGTTATTCTCGTGCCAAACGGTAGAGTAGCGTTTTTGTAAAGCGATTAGAAGCGGACGTTGTTTGGATTAACATGCAGCTGTGGCAATGAACTAACGGCCGGAATCATGAAAACGATAAAAACATGCTTTTCTTGTGGCCAGCAAGAACTTCGATCACTATCAATATTACGCTTCCGAACACTAATAGACGATAAAAATACAATGAAATATAAAGACCTATTCGCTAATTGGCGATGGCTAGCGCACAGGGCCTACTGTGATTTAAACGTTACGAGCATCTCGAGGGCAGCACGAATAATAGATTGAAAAGAGGATAGATTTATCTCGTATATTGTGATGTAATGGAAATGTTCACAGGGAGTAAGAAATATGTGCCAGCTTTTTTTTTTTGTCAAGGATAAAGATAATTATTATGAACATGTTTAACGTGAATACAGTCTAGTCTGCGGCTCAGATATGACAACTTGACAGAGTGGACCCGTTATAATTGTCCTTGTACTGCTACGTATTTGATAACTGTTTAACAACATTAAGTACACAGAATGATTTCATAATGTCCGTAGCGGAAACTTTTCCAGTGGGGTATGTCATCAAACTTACGGACAGAGATTGAGACCTGGGTGCATCAGATTATTGCCATAGACCGATGCTAAATATCTGAGACAGGCAGAAACGTTTGCCGATGTGACGGTTATACAGGAGACTGTGTATGTCTAGTCACAAATCTGTCGACTCTTCGACAAAAAGGCCGCACCAAGAGCAGAAGATTTGGAGCACTTTGAAATTGTGCTACTAGTGAACTATCAGCTTTTAAATGAGAACAGTAAACTTAAATGAGTCTTACATTTATACTATGGGAAGGATTAGAAATTATCCTTTTTTTAACAATGAGCAAAAAAGAACATGTTGCTTTGTTTAGTAATAAACAGTCGGTTGAAATTGCGCTTATTCTGTTCAGCCGTTGCAAGAATAGCTCAGGTGAGCATCGAATGAGGGCAACGCGTAGGGTGATTTGTGTGCAGCTGGAAAAACGTCCATTAACAGTTCTTGATAGATTTGCCGCCTGCCAACCTACCTTATCTTGCTATACAAAACGCTTACCGCCGCTTTCCTAATTCACTAATTTCTGCTCATACAAAAACACGAAATATAACAGTTTTCGTTACTTGTTTTTCTGTATCGTCATGGCCAGCAATAGGGTTTTGCTTTCTATTCGACAACGGGGCAATATGCGACGTGTTATCTATTTTGGTTTGCCCATCTACGCGCGTCCTATATACTATTCATAGATATGTCTATTTATGTATGCGTGCTCGGAGGCACTATGCATCTCTTTGTTGCGCTGTTTTTGCTATCAATATTGCTATTATCCTCACTGTGCAACAATATCTACGATTTTCATCGTACCAACAATTACCTGCACATCGTATCGGGTCCGCAACTAGGATTTAATCTTGCCTATGAAAAAGTTTGATTTTTCCTTTTTTCTATACGTAGAATCGAAAGACTTAATATATATTAACTATTTTTCTATAGTAACATTCGACAAGTTGTCTATACATCATAAGTCCGTAGTTGCCTATACACGTTATCGCTGGTAGACCTCTAACAACAGCAGTAGCAATGTAAAAGATCATCGTTTACTGCAAATCAACACTCGGCTCGATCTTATTGACTGTTTAAAACAACAACAATAACAATAGTACGAGCAGTAGAGGCCACCGTCTGTAGACAGCGTGTCTTTCGTTTCTGATTGCTCTAAGCGTAATCGCTCTTACTCTTAACAGCATTTCGTTCGACCTGTAGGTTAGTCCTAATGCGTAATTTCTAGACTGCGCGCATGACAGCTCTAGCCGGCTGTATGTATGTATGTATGTGTAGAAATTGTAGTGTTTGTACCTCTTACTCTCCACCCATAACAGGGACTTACCACCTACCCTCAATGGCTCGCGCGCCATCTTTACTAAGGTTACTGGTGCTTCCTACGTATCTCTTTTCCCTTGGGAAAGGAGGATGTGAAGGCTGGATGCTGCTGCGGCGGCGGCGGAGGCAGGCTGTTGGCAAGCCCTTTCGTCAGGTTTGTTTAAAGACCGAGACTTCCATACAGTGCGCACTCATGTAACCTCTACACGTTGAACAGGAAGGACAACGCGCCACATAGAAGCTGGCTTCGTATCTCTTTATCGTTTCACTCTTGTCGTATGCCGTTGTCAATCTGTCGATTAGACATTGTTATGGATGTACTCTTGTAACGTAACGTAACAGTCCGAGCCACAGTGTTCACATTGTCACTAGCACGTTCACGTGACAGCAAGAGTGACATGAGAAAGAAGTCGGCCGCTAGAACTGAAAAGGGCAAAAAGCAGCGCCGTTGAGTGTTAGGTAATCAAAGTTCGACGACATTTGTCTATTGTCGCTTAACAGTAGCCGACACACCGCGCGGCTCGATACTGTCGTTTGTGTCGCAGCGAGTGAGAAAGGGGTCGTGAACAAACTATATTCATACTGCACAGTTGTGTAATTTCTTTCAACTTATTATACGCTCGACAAATAGAGTTCAAGTACTAGTGGTTTGCTAGCAGACAGATAAACACTGGGCAAACTGGGCACCGATTTCACATCTGCAACTTATCCTGCGAACTCGATCCGTTTTCGGCACTAGGGGTTGACGCAGACGGCTCGGGTGTGCCACTATCGCTGCAAACTAGAAAACAGTGTCAAAGATGACGGTGTTAGAACAAGAGGTGTCCTCTAATTTGGGCCTTTTGGTGGCCCTACGACTGGGCCTGAAACCAGCAACGCCTGCCAAACATTTGCTGCAGGAGGCCCGTAAAGTGTACAATTGCGCCGCCAGCCGTCTTGAACGCTGGCTGGTAGCCATGGATGGAGAAAACTTAGTGCAGATCGTTATGTGGCGTTTCAGTAGGAGCTTTGACGAACTCAAGATGTCGATACTCAACGATCTGGACACGGGTTTCGAGTCACTTCACTTCCTGATGCAGGTTGCGCCACGCTTCATGCCAGAAATGGTAAATTCAGCTCTACAGCAGGTGGGTACTCTTCTACTTTTCTTTTGCGCCACTTTATTTAAGCATTTTATATAGTATGCGCAACTTGTACCCGTTTCAACTCACAGAAAATAATAGAAGCATCTTAGTAACTACTATACGTAGTGGTAGCTCCGAAAAATTATTAGATATAGAAGGTATTACCTTTCGACCTTAACTAGATCTGCATCTCTAACTAAATCGTAAACTTGATACTATACAAGGCAGGATTTAAAAAAAACGCTTTTGCTGTTCATGCGCTGGAACTTATTCAAAAAGTGCTTTCTAACACAGGACACTTAAGAACTATAAGTCTTTTTTACGGAACCCAATTTAATAAACTCCCCGTGTGATCGATAGTGGCCGTATCAAGAGATTCGGTACGTTCGAACCGTCATGCTCGCGCTACAAATTTAGCTGGGGCAGTCGCATCCCGTATTGTAACAGGCATCGCGTGGTGAGTGCAATGAATGGCCACCTCTTTAGAAATGCTGCCGTTTACGTCAAATCGTGTCAGAGAAATCGTGACCCATTCCTTCTGAAATAAATCTGTTGCCTGATCTGCGATCGAGGGCTAATCGTAGCGGGCATTGTGCGTCGCAAATTGACGGACACTCTATTTTGTTAGCTTAATTAGCAAAGCTAGCGCAAAGCGTGACGGTACGATCACTGCTAAACGAGATATCAGTTTCTCTCATCTCTAACAAAACAGTGTTGTATTGACACAGCTTTTACGGAAAGGACGCCGCACAGGCAGAAGATCATAGTAAATGGCTTGATCAAACGAAACTATCTACAGATCAGAAGCGGACGATGTCTTTGTCAGCCTGTCCGACGGAACCCCATTACGCTAGTCCACTTACCACTCACCATATAGGGAAGAATAATTAGGTTTGCGTTGCGTAATTTGCAATAACGGTTATTGAGTGGCATATCAGATTCGAATGATATACGAAATTAAGGGTGCATTGAATTTAGCCCTCGCTTCTTCAGAGTAGCCCGCTCAGCGGATGATTTAGATATTTTTAAGTTGGCATTGTTGGCCAAGTGACAGTTGATTTTCTACTGGTTGAAAAATACAGGACACATTTTTACTTCCCTTGCGTTCTTCCTAGCGAATCTCGCTTTAGAATCCGTTTAAGCCATTATGCATTACTGCATCCCGTCAAACGGACTCCATCTCACTGGTGGTTGGTCGTATTTAAGCTATCGTAACAGTCGGTAACTCTTGCTTACGATTTACCATTCGTTCACCGTGAAACATCCATAATGAATTCCAGCTCTATATATAATGTATATATATATATATAGATGTGTGTGTGCACAATATGTATCCGTTACGAAGAGCCAACTGGCCTTTCTCCTACTATGGTCTTTTATTTCAATCTATAACGCATAAAATGATTATTATTGTTTTTATAATTGTGGTAAATGGTTATTCGGTGTTTGTCATACCGCTTCGTTAACGCTAATGATTCCCGTCCTGCTAGCTGGTTCTATTTCATCTGTTGACGTCGCTCATTGCCATCTTGGGCAATAGTTGTAATGTCTGCCTGCTTGTAAATCTTCAGAGTGTTTTCGGCCTTTCGTTGGCTCCAGTCGCATCGCTTTATGAGTGATTTTATAGCGTTAAGAATAGGAACTCGTCTAGCCTCTATGAATACCGAGAGGAAGAACCTCAGTGAGAAAATGCTCTCCCTTGGAGTTTTATATAGCAGCAGCTCGGTAGCAAACATGTTTAGATTTTGCTTAGTATTATGTAAATTAGTGTCGGGAACCAACCAGATGATATTATGACAGCTGTTTTCATTGTTAACCTCGGTTTTTGAATGTCTAGGTATTCTAGTAGACTTCGCTTTACGTAAGAGCTTAGCTCTTCTAAAGATCACTAAAACATCGTTACCTCTAGGTACCGACATTTCTAACTCGTAATTAATTCCATTAAGACAGAATACGCTCCATATAGAGTTCAGTCAAATGGAGGAATTGAACGAGAACCATTTGCTGGAAGGCACATAATATACGTCGATGAACAAAACATTATTTTTTGGTCTTTTATTGGCCAGTTCTAAGCTCCGTTTCCATTGCCCTTTGTTTTTCTCCATAGGTGGCCTGCGATTACCTTTGGACCAAAACGGTTATCGAGAAAGCCTTTCGGCTGTGGCCACTCGCCGCCGGCTGCAACTCTGACAAGCGGCTTTTTCGAGAGGTTCTCATTCAGCTGTACAAATACGTCACCAAATCCCTTATCACCTGGTTAACCCAACATGGGCCGTCGATCCCAGCAGCGTCTCCTGTTTTGGATGAGCTCGCAAAGGTAACTAAACTGTAGTAGACTTGCTAGTTAATAAGAAAGTAAGAGATGTATACTCTATTTCAGCAAACAACTACCCATCAGATATTATGATGTGGAACGTAGATGAAGGCTCGTTGCAAATGATATATAGTCCACATTTTTAATTCCGTTTTTCTTTTTCAGCGGCTTATTCTGTGGTCGAATTATTAAGATATATTGTTTTGTCACTGTGACTTGATTAACATACGCATCCTTAATGATGGCAGACATTGTCATAAATTTATATTCTGATCTGCTTATTATTCAGGTAATTGAGCTCCTGCTTAAATCGGTCCAATGTATCGCGCATCATGGTTCTCTCAGTAAAACACACAAGCGATTGTCACTGAAATCCCTATTCTCGGGTAGAGCACTCGCACTCATGCGGCCGCCTACTAACAGCCAGGACCTAGACAGCACTAATATTAAGAAAAAATTTTCAGGTATGTATGTACATCAACCGGTGTAGCTAACGGAAGAGAAATCGACATGTTTTTGTTACTGTGGATAGTGTGCTTTATATAGACGTTATCGAACGTCAAATAATAAAATCTATTCTTAATCTAATTAATTCCGTAATCTCTGTTGACAAGCACAGCTAACTTTACTTATTCTGCATCTTTCCCTGTCGCTGCAGTCAAGTCGCAGAAGCGTTTGGAAAGTGCCTTTGTTGAGCAGATGAAGTATCTTCGACGAGATATCGGTCAGCGTAAAAATTCTGTGAAGTGCGCTCGTTGGTTAGCACTAGCTGTACCACAGGAGGTGCAAAATGAGCCCATGCTTCTGCGCTCCGACTCTTTAGCTTCGATCTCACCCATCAGCCCGTCGGGACCATACACGTCTCAACTGTCTTCACAGTTAGGAAGCACGCGTACCAACAGCAGAAACAATAAGAAAAGTACATAAGCTTATATACAAAAAAGAAACGACACATATGAGAAGTTGACTATCCCACGACCTCCCTTTCCATCTAGAGCTTGACCTGCTTCAAGTAGCAGACCCAACATCCTGTATGACAGACCCGACAATATGTATATATAGAAATGTATGCAGATAAACAAGCAAACTATCGATGCTACTCGATGTTTACAGAAGTAACGAACAAGTCAGTTCAATCCGAAATCAACTACTGAAAAATGCATGCCTTCCAGAGTGGGCGTTTGATGTCGTATGCACAGTTCTGCATAGCTTACTTTAAATCGCTTGTACTTAAGGATGATGTGTTGTGCCCATGTTGTGATAGAATAATTTAGAAAACCTCTATAGTAGATAAGAGCTGTAACCCCCTTCCCCATCAAATGGCCATGCTCGTGGTACGTGCCGTAGCAACTGTTGTTACTCTAGAATATACGTTAGAATACATTAGAACTGGATAATGATGGCGTGTTACAAAAGTTGTTTATTTCCGTATTTTCTGCATATGTACATTAAAACGATACTTCATCATGGGATCGCGACACGCACATTCGTAAACCCAGTCTTTGTCTCAAACACTTTGTGCATATGCTTATGGCGTACAGTATCATTCGAGTAAACAACGTGAGATATAGAGATTTTTACCGTTGCGGGTCATTAACGGATCCGCGTGTAAATTTGTATTATAGTATGATAATACCCACGATATTTATTACTAAGAAAGGGCTCACGGTGTAAGAACACAAGGACAGAGGCGGACGGCAGCTGGGATTCAAACGTCAGAAACCAAATAAGTGTTAATGAGGGAATGTTACAAATGACGGAGAAACTGACAAATCAGCTTAGCGGATAGAAGTTTTACCATTTCATTTAGTAACGATATATCTTGGCGATATAGCTTTTCATCTAGGGACGCAAAAACAATAACAGATGATGACAAAATTATTTCCCGGTAGTTTTGACTTGTCCTTTTAGGTGGTGGTACTTTACATGACTTCAGCAATTAATAATCTAGATGATCAAATCTCAGAAATCCTACAGACGGTAACCCAAAATGTTATGCATGTCCAGCTTGACAGACCTATCAAATTCATTGATCCTGTATCGTCAGAGGAGTCCACGGTGGGAAAACGTGAAAATTTTTTCCAAGGCGCGCTGCAGATCTGTACAACATTAAACTCGTACGCGTCTTTGAAAAGTTCTGCTTTTTAATAACATATAAGACCGAAACATATGTATGGGCATAGTAATTCCGTCAATGCAGAGTGAGGTGAAAAGAAGGTTGAGATTGCCTATTTGGTTAGTTTAATTTTAAAAGACCATGTACTACTCACTGGTTGTGTTAGAGTGTCACGTGTGTATGCAAATAGGACAAACGATTTATTTAGGGAAAAACCTCACCGAGTCGCCGTCTCCGTGTGATATACAAAGAAAGGATTGTGCGAAAAAAACAAGACGATAATTTACTGTTGATATTGTAAGTACCTATAATATTAATAATAATAATAATAACAAAAATAGAAGATAATGATAATGGAATAATAATAGAAAAAAAAAAAACGTATTTATTGTTTAACAGAGTCTAACCGTGTTATCACTTAACTGTTAAAGGTACATCGTACATAGTATAGAAAATTTTCTGTACAGAAATCTATTTTTCGGATCCGCTCGGTGTATTCGATAACCAGTCAGAGATCCCCAAAACATTCGCAATACTGCGCTAGGAAGCAAAAATGGACAAAGACTTCGCTTTTCTCCAAGCTCCCTCGAAGAAGACCTTTGCTACCGCGAAAACTACAAAAGCAAAACTTGCTAAGCTTAACTTACGAATCTTACTCACATCTAATAGCATCGAATCTGACGCAAAGAAAACTAAACATCTTTTTAATTATTCTTCTCTATTAAGTATTTATTTTCTCAATTGTAGCTAGCAAAAATAGGTTTAAGCCCTGTTGCAGAAAAATAATTCCTATATGGAACGCGGATACAAAAAAAAAAAGAATTGGAATAATAATCAAGTGTCAATACATTGACGGATGTAAATTATATGGAATAATATGATTATGATAATATGACTATCACGGTCATACTATTATTATAGAAGTTCGTAGATTTTAGATCAGTAAAATGTTTTTGCTTAGGGTTAGGGAACGATCTAATACACTCTGTGTAGACTTCGCAATCAATGTGAGTTGTCGACAAGCGCCAATATTGCAGAGTGTTAGGTGATGCCGCTGCGCTGAGGCACATCGTAGTAACTATCCAATTTCTAAGAAATGTATAGACCCTGTACAGATGTGGGAAAAAAGACTTCGAATCAATATTGTTGCACAATGATCATGCAATTTAAAATTTTACTTGTTATTTAGCCAGATAGCACTTTTTTCACGACTAGGTACTATACAACCTAAAGACAAAATAAACGTGCCATTTCATTCAGTTACCTTGGCTCGGCGTCATGAAAAGTTGGATTTTCCGAATAGCCCCTTTTTGACCGTTGTCTCAAAAACATGCCCTTGTCGAATTCTCGAATGTACACTTCGTAATACAGAATCAGCGTCACTCATTTTCGAATCGTATGGAAAACTCGGTAATGAGAATAAGAGCCAAGCAAAATAGATACTGTTACATCTTCGATCTTCCAAGTTATCCATTTCGATAAGCGTTTTACACAATTCCCTTGAATAGCTCCGATGCTTTGGAAATATGACTGTGAAATGACACAAGTCATGGTGCTAGCTAGCACTCGGTTCCTGTCCTCTGCAACGACGCAATTTTCTCTAAGGATGGGAGTACATGCTTCGGAATAATAGTATTCTATTTTTAACAATTCTAATTGACCTTATTAATTTTGGAGGCATAATATTTTGTTATAAAGAAAAAGGCGACTATCTTCAATTATCTAAAGATTCATGCTTATGCCCAAGATACGACACATCGAGTCCTGGTTGATTAGAAAGATGTTATGCTTGGACCTCTATTTACAAGACAAAGCTCTTTTGGTACAATGTCGTGTCCCTCACGTTATCATATCGCGAATGCGAAAGTTTCCCCTCATGCCGTAGTGTTACATTTTCACTTGCGCGTAAAAACTCGAACGTGTGCCGTTAAGATAAAAACAATGACAATGAAACTACAACATGCTCATGGTGGAAGAAGCTTGTGTTTCGTAACAATGTATAGATAAATAAATATTGAAAAAATACGAGAGGGTATTTGATATTCCTCAATGAGAGAAATCACTGCTCAAATAAATTATTACTTACCTTTGAAATATCACAGTAGATCTTTCGAGTCAAAAGGAGCAGTATACGCTATTAGGTTAGTATTATAAGCTCCGAGATTGGAGGACGTTGAATCTATAACTTATTAACGATATATAAATCAGTAAAGACACAAGCGCAAAGCGAGAAACGGATAACTGTGGACAGCTCAGACTGATCTACCAGGAAGCTTGTTGGTTGGCCGCTTCCTGCTTCCAGATAGCTCGATTTTTGATTGCTTCAAGAGAAAATCCTCAACGGATTTATGTAGAGCGGGATGGCTTTGGCGGCTGAGTTTGAGTTTAACTTCCCGATATTTCTGACCAACGTCAAGCCCACAGTAGGGTCTGTTTTCTCCGCCGGTTATAAGGCAAGATCGTTTGCTGAACTTAAGCCTGCCCGCGTGATCGAGAGGCCCCTGGGCCTTCGCACCCCTTGGACTGAGGATCGAAGTTACGCACTAGCTGTGCAACGAGTGGGATTATCCGGGTGGGCTTCCTGGGAATAGAAGGAATCACGATCGACATTGATGCCAATCAAATAAGGACATTTTACCTGACCCGGCTTTATGTGCTTATGTGGTGACTTTTCTGTTGGTTCTTTTCGCTTAACGTTGCTGGCGGCACCCCGTTTTACTCTTAAGTACATAATGTTTTCCCACTGTGGTTGAACAACCCATATAAGTTCCGTGATAGTTATTTTCTCCAAGATAGTGCCCAATGGGTCCTATCAAGTATATTATATGCGCGTTTTCATGAAGAATGATTAACTGTTTAGATTGACAAAGCCTTTAATCATAAATTTACCTAAGCGGCGAACACTCGTTCCTTCATGACTAAAAAATCAGTCAAGAATCTATGGCTGCTAAGGTATCCAAAATAACGGTTAGCGAGTTTCGAGGCAATGCCTTTTATCATTATTAAATATATTCGATGTGTACGTAGCGCACTGCAGTATACATTCATGCTCAAGCCTTAACTACCGGTAGTTATGTAATGATTTTTATAGACACAAATAGCTATTTAACTCGAGTCGCTTTCATGTTGATAGGTAAGTGTTATGCATAACTTCGAAGTCTAACCAATATATATATCTTCATAAATACGTTACCTGTCCTTTCCGTTTCAAAATTAGCCTGTTTGCGATACATGTTGAAATATTTAAGAATACTATTAGACGTTCACGCATATCGGAATTTTCATAAAGCAATTAGATAGAAACAAGGATTAAAGCTTTTCTACTGGGTCTACAGTTTCGCGCTGCGTCTCAAAAAAGTATCGATCGTACACATTGATTGACAAATTCGATATATCATCTTATGTAAGGCAGCCAGACTTCTCAGTAGTATGTACGTTTTAAATTTCTAAAAAGATTCTTCAATATGAAACGATGACGGATAGAAATACAGACCGGGACATCGTTTGCCTATTGTAGATGGTACAGTCTCTTATGATAACTACAAACGTAACGTTTCCATTTGCGGAGTAGAGAGCAGCATATTGAGGATCACCAACGTTGATATCGTCTTGTTCGCACCATCAGAATACATTTTCTAGGGTAAAGAGTAGGTCCTCCCTTAGGAATATTAGAAGAATCATAGACAGACAATTTTACATTATAAAACCGTTGACCGTATTTTATAGAAGACGGAACCAATTCGAATCAGTACGTAAGTATACTTGGTCTTTAATAGAGCCTCTTTCCCTTCGAAAAGCTTGCCACTGCAAGAAATTTAAGATTTCTATTTTATTCGTAATCTCCGCTTCGTGTCCGGGCCTTTTTAGACGTATTTTCAAATGTATTGCTATTGATGCTTGAACAATATGTGTAAATCTACTTATATA